TAATCTACCACTCACCAATCACACAAATCATATGTGGACCATAACTAATTGAATATTGATGTAGAAGAAAAGTTTGACACAGAAAGCTGAATTTTGTAGAATCCACTCATAACTATAGACTCTACAAATGCTGAAAGTTTCATATCAAACGATCATTTCTTTCCTTGTTAAAAAAGATTGATCTGATAATAGTCCAAGGCTAATTGATTTAAAGAAAAGTCGATGTCTGTATATCGGCCGTTTCGAGTTGGAATAAAATTTCAAACATAGGGCTTGATAGAGCAGAGTCTGCTCTACAAAACTCATCAAGTCATTAAACCATGGAATTCATCTTAAGAAACTTCCAAGGGACGAAGTTTATAGTGTTGCTGTTGCTAGCATGGTCCAGAAAATTTTTTACTAGGTTAATAAAAATTAAAAAGCGATATAGGCGCGGATGCGCCGGGTCACGGGGAACAAGAATATATAATTGGAATCAATTTTGGTTCATACAATAGTGAAGAAGTGAAGACCACGAAGTTTAGTAAATTTTCATTTTTCATGAATTATGCTAATTTCCAGCAAAACTTGTATACCTTATATCTCCCTACAGGAACGGTTTTTTAAGCTGAAATTTCTACCATAGATACAACTCGTCGAACTCTACAAGATAGGATATGTTTCGATCACTTTGAAGACACTTGTGTTTTTTGTGGTAGAAACTCCATGGAATAGGCCTATATTTATTATAACTAAACTTTTTAAAAAGCGATGTATATTAAATACTATATTTCTTATTTCTTAATCAGTTGATTCAATAATTTATTTTAATTTTCTTGGTTTCTTTCTCATAGGACTCATCAACAACTAATAAAATGCTTCAATAAAGTGATGAGTATCTACTAATAATTATTATAAATCAGAGATTTTATTTATGAATCAAATATTTTAATTGTGTATAATATTAGATTTGTATGATTTTTACAAATCGAGCTTGATACAAGAATATTTATTTATTTTTTAATTCAAATAAACAAACACTTCTAATATCCCAAACCAATGGTTTCATATTTCATATTACTTTCACAAAATTATTTCATGTTTTTGCCGAGTACAAAAGGTCGTCACTAAAAAAAGATCAAATTACATAAAACAAGTAAATAATATGATATTGCATGCTATTCTCGGACCACTCATAAGCAGAAATATCATTGTAATAAATCAGTAACTTAAAAAATTTTCTAGTACCTACAAATGCAAGTTATAATAGTGCTTATACTAACGGGGAGAGCTCTCAAGATGTTAAAAAGCTTTTCAGTCTGGGAGGGTGTAGGTGTGGGTGTGGGTGGGTATGGGTGGGTGTGGAAGGTGGATGCTTATTTTCTATGCTGCCACACTCACACCCACATACACACACCCATACCCACATCCAGTCGTTATTCTACGAATTCAATAAGTTGGAAATATCGATTGATCATTTATTATCAAGCGATTGAAAAAAGGAGCTCGCTCCTCCCTTGTCTCCTTTATATTAACCATCATACTTGTGACAATGGGCACTATCATAGATACACATATACATGTATGTGTGAATATGTTTATGTGTTAATCAGGGGCGATTTTATCCATTTGGATGTCATCCTTAGTTTACATTGCGCTAGTGTGATGTAATTAGTGTGATTGACTAATTCTTGCTCTTGTTCTGTTCAATACCATTTGTCCTGTTTCTTTTGGTGTAACTTTCATCATTCTCTCTCTCTCTTTATATATATATATATCTTTTCTTCTGTTCTCCTTCCTTCTCTTGTATAACCGAGTGATCTAATGTATCATTATATAAAGAGAGGAAAAAGGAAGAACGGGGACAGACTCAAGGATAGAATAGTGAAGATAACATCGATGATATACTGAATATATCGGTAGCACTATTCTTCCAGTTTGTCCATTGTGATCACAATTAGACTTAATGAATAAAAGAAATGCTGCAGCCGTAACATCATAATTTCATCTATTATTATTTTTCGTTACAATACTAACCAGAGGTCGACAACGAACTGAACCCGAACCGAATAGAACTTTATTCAGAAAAATCGGTTTGATTTGACCTTTGATACTTGCACTCTGATTGTCAAGTAAGACAAGAATCCTGATGATTTTTATTTTTCAAATCGATATTTATAAGCTTGTTTTCATTTATCAATATCAATGATCGAAATACATGAATTATTATCGGAGCAATTTTTTTATATCATTTTATCATTAGAAACTGTTCATCCTATATTACATACCGATGATTCACTTTCTTAATAGGCTGAGTGTGGATATGACTCTATTACTACACACACTTAAAACCTCGCTCACATCTCTTCCACCGATACAAACATCCTAAAAATTACTGCGGAAAACTATGCCACAGCGTTATGCTTTTTTTTATTCTTTTTAATTTTAAACAAATACAATGGGATAATTTCAAGGCTCCATTCAAAAACTCTACGAAACTGGTTGAAAATGTATATCATCTGAAAAATGATATGAAATAAATGAGAATTTTAGAAGCAAAGCTTATGGAAGACATCTTTTGTGTAAGACGGTTAAGGAACTAATAATACTTTTTGGAAAATCAAAAACCGTTCGTTTGTAGCATAAGCAGGATACGGCAAATGTCAGCGCCACGTTGCAACAAGTTGCTGACTATATATGCTAAAATTAGAATTGATTTTTGTAAGCTTAAATAATTTTTGTCTAGCATAGTGGATTATATTTTGAAGAATCCGGTTTAGTGTTGGCTTCCGTATTTATTCGATTAAATCTACGAGAGTTTTGTGTGAGACTTACTTCAGGATGAGTATTTATTTCTATGAAATGTGAAGTTAACATTTTAGTAAAGAAATACATTCTTAGTAGTCGAGAAGACTAAAATTCATGGAAGACATTTTTAAAAACTGAGTTATGGCATATTAAATCAGAATATTTTTATTTTATTATATAGAAAACTTGTACAGAGTTCATTCTTGGTTTTTGTGATACTATCATACAAAGCAAGCAAAAAAAAACTGTTTTCATGATTTAATCAACATAAAAATACTGTATTAAGGTAATAGACTTTTTTCTGATGATTGAATATCATTTGCGTGTTCTTCTTTTACTTCATCTTGATTATGGTTCACTTTTCTTTCGTTATCAAAAACTTTTTCATCTGCAATTATCCTACAATCCGATAGTCTATTTGAAGCAATATTAATTGAAGAACTTATATCTTGATTAATATTGAAGTCGGACTGCTGTTCTTTTTCATTGCAACATTTGTTACTTTCTAGTTCATATTTTAACTGTTGCAAACGCATGAGTAGAGATGAATATTGAAAGAAACCACAATTTTTATTAAATGGATCCTATATACAAACATAAAATATTCCTTTTCTTTCTCCGTTTTTTTACATACTATCATTTGTTGATCATCTTTATCTATGTTTTTTTTACATTCATCAATGTAATAATCGTAGAACTTCAAGAAGTGCTTTATCATAATTTCACTAAAATAAAAATAATTATATTCTTCAGTTTTGTAAATTCCAAAATTTACCGTAATTGTTGTGGCACTACATTGGTAGTTTCAAGCATTTCGCAGACAGCAACACGAAGTGTTTCGTGTTTTAGTGTTTCATTATAGGCTTTCGACTCACCTAATCGACGTTCCTATTTTTTTATTTTTCAATAAAAATTTTTTACAAGAGACATATTGGAATTTTTTTGTCTTTAATTCACTTTTGTAAAACCTGGTGCATTATGGTATGGATTTTCGGACAACAACGATTGAATCGAAAGAATTAAGGATTCCAAAGTTAGAATTGGAGTCCATGATGGTCCAGTCATAGTACTTACAACATACAAATTCGTAACAATAACATAATAGGTAATCAATCGAGAAAATTTACCCGAGAATGGATACACAAACTTTGCCATTTTGATAAAGATTTGGATTCATACGAACTGTATTATTTGCAGTTGTCATGAAACGACAACGAGGAGGTTGAAATGGACTACAATGAAAAACAAAAATATTTATTTTAATTGTGAATTTCTTTAAACATACTAGTTAGGTGAACAACGTATTATAAAATAAAAGAATCCATTTTCATATGGTGTATCAGACGGACCGATTATAAGAGCATGAATCTAGAATGAAAAGATAGAGAACTTTGAAAAAAATCTCCTCAGTCAAAAATCGCAAGCTTTCTTTATCTACACACTTGTAAAAAGTAAAGCTAGGATAATTTACAATAGTTGTTGCTTTAGAGAATACATGTGAGATCTAAAGAATAGTTGTTTACCTTTGTGATATTATCAGGATCAGTATCAATAAACATTCCGGGCGGAGAACCTTTCAGCATGGAAGAAATATCACTAATTAAGAAAATTTTTATGTCAAGTATTGTATTTAAAATTAAAAGCTTACCGTTGAATTCTTCTTAAACAGATAGTAGTTGGAATGCATTCATCCCAATCAGAAGAATGTAAAGGATCCCATGGATAACTCATCACCTTTGCCATTTCCTCATTTGGAATTCGATTCATACGTGATTTAGACGATTGAGCATTTTTAACTTGTGTATCATCATTCGTATTCATTTTGACTTATTAAAGAGAAATACAAAAATTTGAAAATGATACTCATTACTCAGAAAAGTATGCTAGCCTATATAAATGTCGGAAAATAAAATACCTCGTCTGGGTTTTTTTCTATTTGTTTATGACTCAAATCTTTCACCATCTGTTCTTGATAATGACGTCAGTTTGACTGACGACGAAAGTTTCATTACTCAATGAGAGATTAACAGAAGATGAAATACATTTTAAGCGATAAGACTTGATGAAAAGCGTATTGAAATTCAATTCAATCGTAAAAGCGGCATCATCAAGATGATTTAAATGTATTAAAAAATCTTCAAACTATAAGAGCATGTTATTGCTTTTTGTATAGCTAATTGTTCTCATCGTTGATTTTACTATTTTTAGTTATAATGTGTTTGAAATATTGAATACAGCCTAGTTGAGTAATGATTATAGATGTATGAGAAAATCCGATCACGTTGAACTTTTCAGGCATATACTTCATCCAATGCAAGTCCTCTAATGAAACGACTTCAACTAAAATATTATTATGCATGTTTTAATTTAAAATGAATTTATCAAGAATTTTCTGCTTTCAGCGAAAGAATAGAAATGCTTCATACGTTTTTTTCACACTTGACATCTAATAATGATCTTTTCTCTTAACAAATAGTATCGAATAAAATGATAAATCAGTGAACGAAAGTTTGAGTCGAGTATGTTTATTCATAGAAAGGAGTTCAAAGCTCACACTCACACCCGGCGGTGGAAACAAAGTTTTTCCTGTACTATTTAATCGAGTAACAGTTAGTGATGTTCTCTCAGTAGCTAAAATTCCTATAGATACACTAGTTTGAAATAAATGTTAAAGAATTATTTCAGATTAAAACGATAAATAACCGTCAGAAAAGATTAAAACATTCATTGAGTCGAAGAGAACAATATTTGATTATAACTATCATTTTTCTTGCCATTCTTTTACAGTATTAATCGATATTATCTATCAAAAAATATTGCAAATTTCATTGAAAAATGTCTGCAACATTTTTTTTTATTTTTCTTTTCTTTCACAAGAAAATGAAAATTTTTTGGGGTGGGGTGTGGGTGTGGGTGTGGGTGTGGGTGTGGGTGTG